TGGGGAGTAAAAAGCCTTCAGCTGCGCCTGGTGGTCTCCGTCCTCTGCATCACAGGGGGTGGGTGGGGGCTGTGGGGACTGAGGGTGACACGGGTGGGGACACCCCGCTTGGGACTAGAGGGGTGACGCAGGTGGGGTCCCCCTGCATCAGACTCGGGGGGTGACACGGGTGGGGACATCCTGCATAGGGGGTGGGTGGGGGCTGTGGGGACTGAGGGTGACACGGGTGGGGACACCCCGCTTGGGACTAGAGGGGTGACGCAGGTGGGGTCACCCTGCATCAGACTCGGGGGGTGACACGGGTGGGGACATCCTGCATCAGATTCGGGGCAGTGATACGGGGGGGACACCTTGTTTGGGACCAGAGGGGACACACAGGTGGGGACGCCCTGCTTGGGACCAGAGTGGTGACATGGGTAGGTCTCATCAGCAGGCAGGTGTTGAGCAGGGCTCCATCGCACCTAACGGTGACTTGGGCAGACAAATGCCATCCCTCCGAACGTCCCCCCCTCCTCCTTCCCCCAGCTTTTATTGCTGAGCACGAGGCCATATGGTCTGGGATGTCCCTTCTTTAATCCTGGCCACTTTTAGGGAATTTAGCTGCAGCCTGTAATAAAAAGACAGTCGAGCCCTCGGTTGGCATTTTGTCTACGGAGACTGTCGAGTTTTCAATGAGGGTTTGGCATCCAAGTGCCTAATAGACTATTCATGGTTTGGACTTTTAATATATCCATGCCTAATATATTTAAGGGCCTGAGCGCCACTGTGGGTCTTAGCGTTCTTCGATTCTTTATCCTAGCTACAGGGAGCCGTTGTCTTTTTCCGTCAATCCTTCTTATATAAACCCTTTCTCGAGGTTTCCAGATGAAGCCAGGCTCGTCCCTAGCTTTAATCGTTGATATTGAGACTCCTGTGGCTATGAGTAAAGAGAATATTTGTCATTCGCCGCTAATGGTGTACGAGGGCTTTTACTACTATTAAGTCCAAAAATTTTGGCCGCTTGGGAGGGGTCATTGGACCTGCCTGGGCCAGCAGCTGGGATTGCCTCCCTTAGTTGGCCGTTCCTCCCGTAGTTTCTTACGATTCTGACCTGCTTTTGCCATTTGGGCCCATCCTTACCCGCTCTTCCTTCCGATGAACTGCCATCTCAGGGGTTCCCATAAAGGCCGTCCACTTCTGCAGCTCTTGAGCCATCATGGTCTTCCAGTCATGGGTTCCACCATGTCACATTAAGGCCAGGCTCAGTATCCACCCAGCCAGCCCAAGGAGGAGGAAGTTTGTATCGGTTCTATCCCCATGGTTCTTCCAGTTGTCTAACAGCATCTATTATTGAAGATAATTGAAATACTCGATTCATAGAATCATTAAGGTTGGAAAAGACTTCTAAGATCATCGAGTCCAACCATTGACCCAACACCACCCACTAAACCATGTCCCTAAGTGCCTCATCTACTCGTCTTTTAAATACTTCCAGGGATGGTGACTCCACCACTTCCCTGGGCAGCC